CATTTCTGCAAATCACAGATTTTTCTTCAAAAGAAAAGAAAAAAAATTACCCTGCTTCTTGCTGATCCACCCCATAGTGCTCCAGCTCTGTGCCTGGAAGTGGCTGCACAGGAGGAGGTGGGAGGGGAACACTGGCCCAGTTTGAACCATTATTTTTCTGGGGCTTGGCAGTATTTTTGTTTTTCTTCTTTTTCCCTCCTTTGCCACCTGCAAATCCAAAAAGAAAAATAAAATGTTAGAGATATAATGTGGAAAAAAAAAGCTAGCTATTTACATTTCTTTCAAAGAATTCTGATTCCAGATGGCATGCCCCAAAAAAGACGACGTATTTATATCTCAGCAGAATCAGCATCAATGTGCTAATGCTGTCACAAGGTTATAAGTAATAATAGAATGGAATGGATAAATATTCTGAGTATTTGCTGAACATCACTTCTTTTTAAACCTCTGTACATTTGCACCACAGTAGTGCAGGAACAAGGAAAGAAAGGTTTTCCTGTATCAGGAATATTTTTCCTGATTTATTCATGTGCACTTTGTGACTTCTTCATAAAAATGATAATAAAACATAGCAAATTATTTCAAATGTCAAAATCTAGTGTGATTATAACAGTTTTGCATAACCACTTTCTGTGGAAAACACAGAGGTTAAAGATACCATCTAMAAAAACTGCCATCAGACTCAGTATCTTTCAGCCAGATGACAAGAGTGAATTGTCAAAACAAAAGAAACAGGGTTTTGTTGACAGGAATTTCCTAAATTTGATTTCTCAAAAAGATCAGGAAGTCATGTGCAATGTTTTAGAGCTGCTTGTTTCACAGGTTTCAAATACCCTGTGCCACTGTGGAGAAGAGTTTCTATTTCGGATATACAGCTCTAAGGGATGAGGYACAAATGATGTGAGCAAGGCATTTTGGTTAAACCCTATGCTCTTCTCCTATTGTCCTTGTATCCACTTCTCCAGTTGAGACACTGCCATCTGTGAGAGAAACCTCTCATCCTACTTGCTTTGCTTCTTTTATTTTGCCCTGACTTTTTTTCTTGTCRGGAATTCATTAGGAGGAAGAAAGGCACAACATTCCAAATCCCTTGGCTGTTTGGGGACACATCCATTTTTTTGAGTTTTGTTGTGGCTTTCAAACTCTTTGGCTTGTTGGGTGGAGGAATGGTTTGTCAGATGCCTTTTCAGTGGGGTGCCCAGCTGCTGTCACTCATCCCTGGCCTGCTGCAGAAAGCAGAGTCTAATCCATCTCACCCACTGACATGTCTTGCTGATTTATAAGGATCGGCCAAAAACAAACAACCCATGTAAAAATGAATCAATGAATCAAGAAAGTCACAACTGACTTGTCAGTGAGAGTGGCACGGTGTGCCCTGGCTGGCACCGCCCTCTTTGCAACGGCTCGAACTTTAGGCACAGAGAAATAAAGAAGAAGCTACAATTCCAGCAGCAGAGACAAGCCCCTATCATGGGACTTTTTGTCTGAGACAGCGGCTTTCTTCTGTTACCTSCCCATGTCAGCTAGGTGAAAACAGGAACAAATAGAGAGGGAAGAAAAAGGTGATCCTGTGACTCAGAARTAGCCAAGACTTCTCTTTTCACTTCCTCTTGTGGCTGCTAGAGACAGGCAACAAGTCCAGCAAGGCTTCTAATCGACCTGGCTGACAGCGAGTGAAACTTCACTTTCCACTACTCAATTCCAGACCACAGCTCTTCCTTCCTTGTCTTGGAGTATTTATARTAAGCTTAGCCAAGATCCTGTCATTCCCTGTGTGAACTGAGCTGATGCTACTTCTATAGGGATGGAAAACAGGCTCTTCCTTCCGTTTGTAGCCTGGCAGAGAGGGTAGCTTTCTTGAAAAGGGAAAGAACATTTTGACYGGTGAAAAGAAACCCCAGTGACAGCAGCGACAGAGGAACAAATACATGAAATTTCTGGAGGGAAAATAAAGCTTACAAAGCATAGGTAAGGCAAGAAAAAAAGCAGAGTTAGAAACAGGGTCACKGAACAGTGCAAAGGAAGTAGGTTAATTTTAATTTGTGGGACGTGGGGAAATTTTTGAAAACTCAGCAGGAGTAGGAGCCAACAAGAACTAAGGCAGGAGGGACTGCTTCAGGAGAAAAGTACATGCATTTGTGTGTGTGTGGCAGGAGGATTTAAATTATGAATACACAGAGATGSGAAATGCAGAGAATTGCTTCAGCTTAGAGATTAGTTGAGGTGAAGTGTAGGATTTTGGAAGTGTAGCATCTAGATAATCTTTGGAGACCGGTAAAATGTAGGTTGGACGTGTGGAATGCTGCTTTGAGAATCACTTGCATTTTGGGGGTTTCAAAGAGGAAGATTAGAGATAATGGAGATATTAGGAGTGAAGCAGAGAGAAAAGGGACTMGTTTAGATGAAGAAATGAAAGAAGACAAGTCCAAGGTCATTGCTGGTAAGGAAAGCAGCCTACACCTGCAATTGGGCAGGAGATTTCTGCTCTGTCCCCATGGGCAGAGTTACTCCACTGTCAGACTGGAGGGACAGACATCTAACACATAATGCCTGATTTGTGCTTGAAAACTGATGCACTGAAGCCTTGTTTCCCCACAGCAATGATGCTTTATCCTTCAATGTCTCATCAYTGAAATTCAATTATATTGTTTAAATCTCTAGATGAATCAGGTCCTAGAAAAGAATTTGCCAGTTGGGCTGCTGATCCTAGAACAGACGTAATCTATGCAAAGTAAAGCCACAAAGTTTCCCTGCCTCATAAAGCAGTTGAATTTTTAGCTATTTTCCATTCCACAGTAGGGTAGGAATTCTCATGATACTCATGTAAGAGAGACAGAAACTTAGTCAGAATAATAAGCAGTACCTAAAGTACTAACCAAGGAAGTGAGAGAACAAATCCCTGCTCACCCTGATGGGGRCTATGTAACCAAAGCTGGTCTCTGACTCTAGTGATGCTCTAATTATCAGACTATTTGAAGGTTTCCCCCAGTTTCTCCTGTATTACAGACATAATTATCCTGTATCAAAGGCATAATTAGTGGGCAAGGGAGAGCAAAATACTGATTCTGCAGTCCAGTAATCTGACACTCATCTGAGCACTGGGGCATCCTGTTGTGAACTGCCTTGGTCAGGTCCTTGGTCCACTGGAGTGCCCTGGCCACAGAAAGACTGACTAAACCCCAAAGTTTCCTCGTGTCATCACAAAATTTAATTCAGACTGAGAAACACTATACAGAATATGTTGCACTTGAAACATTTGATCAAAGTCCAGCTTTTGATCAATGAGCATTTTCCAACGACTCTTGCTACTTTCTGAGAAAAYTCTTAGGCAGCTGTAGCTGTCAACATATTTAAAATGTGATACTGCMCTCTGATACCTGACATTTGTGTATCTCACAGCAATTTCTGCATTTTCATGCGGCCTGGGGAGCAAGCTGATTTCCTAAGAGACTTGCCAATACATCTCACATGCAAGGAACAAGAACCTTTCCTGAAGTATTGCATGAACTCAGCTCCCAGATACCTCTCTGACAATGCCATAAGCCTATTTCTTAGTCTCACTCAAATCAGCTAATGCTGCCCCTTGAGAACACAAGGCTTGCAAACACATTTGGCTATTTGAGTCATGGGCCAGTGATTATAGGCTTCTTATCTCAGGATTCAATTTGAATAGTCATTTAAATTGACATAAAGAAGCCATTTCTAGGTTTGGTCTGTTACTGTGATGACTGCTCCASTTACAGTGGAAATTCAAAAGGATACGATATGACTATCAAAATTAAGTCCCTTCAGCTCTCTCATATTTCAGATTGGTGAAGTCTCAGATTTTCATTTTAACTGCTGCCTTTTCAGGTTTTGTCTTGACCAAAGGAAAAAAAAAAAGAAAAAAAAAGAAAAAAGACAGCTATACATAACATAAGCAACAAGGAAGCAAAATTAAAGAAATCAAGAAAAAGGGTGTGTTTAACTATSATACACAACCACATGTACTATGATCATTTTCATCTGATGAAAATGCATCATGTTTCCAATAGAACATGCAGCACACACACAAAATTTACATCCTGTTTGTATGCAGACTTAGCACAACTTGTWGAAACCCCAGTCGCCTTTCAGGGCCCTACAATTATTTCTGAGCTGCTTCACTGAAGAATAGCTTTTMGGAACAGCTCATGGGAGTGGGGGATCTGTTAACAACTCCATAAAAATATTAATCTCCTCATGAAGTTCAGTGTGAGAAGACCTATAAACTGAGGATGGATACAGAAATACATTTGCTCCATAGATTGTGCCAGGCTAAGGATGTGACGAGGAGAGGCCGGCGGTTACACGGACAARCACCACATGGAAGGACTCTCCAGTTATCTCCAAGTGGGTTCTGCCTTTTTTTTCAGTAGAATTCCATGTGACATCGTGTGCTGATGGGCAGAACTCATGGTTATCCTCAGCTGGTGCCTGGGAGGTGTTCTGCCTCCCTGGAGAGCCGCTTGCCAACACCCCTCCGTCCCTCGCTCCCCTACGCACGGCGATGGAACCAACCTGAGAGGCTGCCACTCCTTTCGGAGCTGTTGTGGGAGCTGGTGGTGCTGAAATCCTGTGACTGGTTGTGTGGCAATCTATTAGCCAGTCCCTCAGCCACCCGGTAGTCAGGGATGTAAAGCAAGGCTAAGGGTTAAACGGCAGAGGTCACAGTGGCATCGTGGGATTAGTCAACAGCACAAGCACATGCGACACATGCAGTTAGCAAGCTGAGGGCGGAYGGGGTGGGGTGGCAGGCTTTAACTTGGTTATTTTTAAAAGTACACCTACCCTGGCCTAATGGAAGGCAGATGGCTCGGTGAGTAGCACAGGGCAAAGAGCATTAAAAGCACAGTGYAAAGTATTCTGTGATCGTGTGAGGTTCAGCACGCATGCAAGGTGTGCAAGCATTAGTTCAGGTCAATATGAACAGTGTCCCACAGAGCTAAACAGAATTTACTAATTCATGCACAGATGACAAACACACAAAGCCAAGGGCTCTGGAAAATAAAGACTGTAATTACCATTGTTGCCTTTGCCTTGGTCTGGGAGAGAGTAACCGAATCCCATGAGGTCRTTTTTTTGCTGAATTGAGCTTTTCCACTGCGGATCCGGTAAATCGACAGCCAGCTCGTGGATGCTGTTGGAATGCAGGATCTGGGTGGTGGCATATGGCGTGGCCTGCGTGATCTGGCTGGAGCTGTTGTAGCTGGTTTTGGTGGTGAAGTCGATGCTGCTGTAAATGGCTCCGTCGGAAAGCATGGTGGCCGTTTTATCTCCTTGCCCTGGCACGGGTGGCAGCACATCTGTGGTGAACACAGGGGAACGCAACAAATCATTGATGCACGGGAAGCCGAAAAGCACCCAGGTTTAAGATGAGAAATAAACGTGTCATTCTGCACGTTTGCATTTCAGCTGAGACAGGTCCACGAGTCAACGAAGGGAAGATGATGTACAACCATCGCCAAGCTATCAGCAGCTGTGACAGGCCTACCACTTGTCCTTCACGTCTCACTGCCTAAAACCATCTTTTTTTTCCCCATACCTTCAACTGTGAAAGTGAAGTTTGGAATATTTCTCTACTGAAGAATGTTTTCAATTGTTCACTCTGTGTCAGAACCAATGAAACTCTCTGGGCTTCAGGGAAATAATGAAAAAAGAGAATTTACAAATCACAGAGGGAACTTGCGCCCAGTAAATATGCAGGGAAACTCTCAAAGCAATTTTTTTAAGGGCATCAYCTTGATTTCTTTGAAGCTTTGTGCATCAGCTTATCAAATTTTCCTTTTGACATTAGCTAGTACATTTCTTCTTTTCCACRAAAGAAACACCTAACAAAAACAAGTTGCTCCTGATACGTGAAAGAAAATCCATTATTCTGAAGGGATTTAGGTGAYCTGTCCCTCAAAATGGTGAAGCAATGTTGATAATGGGGAACAACTTGTTCAAAAACTCCAGTGCATTGGAGTTGAACTGAAAACCATTACAGCATATTTAATGAAATATCTGCTAAAATTTCTCCATATTTTGAATCCTATCCCACACCGCAATTTGTATCYTTGATCAGTTAGACTGGCAGTCTCTCTCCTTACTAAACACTGAAGTGACCTTTGCTGGTGGAATACTAGATCTAGAAACTGAGACTAGTGAAGYGTGAAGAATCTAATCATGACTGGCACGATGTCCCAAGGAGAACCACAACTCAGCAGATAACCCTTCTTCCTGTTCTCTCAGAGGTCAATATATCAAATGGTACAATTTTTACAATTTATTTAGACTCYGAAAAGTTGACTCAGTTCCAAAATGTACTTTCTAAGAAAAAARCTTCATTTATATGCCATTTTCCTTCCACAGCCAGATGGCAGATACGGGTTCCAACTGTTAGATCATACTTGAGATAATGCACACTCCTATAGTGATGATGTGAGGATCCCATTTTAGGGATCACAGCCATTTCTATGCAACTTAAACCCCAGAGAGAAAAGATGATTCTTGCACCTCGTTTAARCTCATTTACAGACTCGGATTTGGGTTTTGTGGAGCCTCAGAGAATACATTCAAAGACTTATCCAGCAACGAGATGTAGCACGTCACACTGCTTTGAGGTTTGGTATTTTTGGTTTGTTTGCTTGTTTTTGCTTTTGTTGATTTGTTTGGGGTCTAGGTTTGGCTTTTTTTGTTTTCCTGGGATGAACATTTAGATCACAGAACTATTTTCTTTTGCATTCAGGTGTGCAACAGTGAACATTTCAATATAGACCCTAATAACAGCTTCAGTSTCAGGGCTGGAACATAATAGTAACAATAAAAATGGCAATATCAAATGTTCAGCAGAGACACCGCAGAAAGAGAGAATAAATTTGGGCCTATCAGCATGATSTGGTTTTGCATACAGCAGGAAAATGGGCACAATCAAGTATTTAAAAGATCTTAATTGTATTAACTGATATCTGCAGATAAATTGCAAGTGCAAAAAAATTACAATTAATGCAAAATACAGCCTGATTTCAAAACCAGGTTGTTGCTATCCATCTGYACACATGCAGTGCGCTTTCCAGGGGCAGCACACAAACAAAAATGCATCTGTGTGCAAACATAGCATGAGATGTGAGAGACAAGTGCAGTCCCATCTTTCTTGCATTGCGTCCACAATATGAACATTTCTCTTTTCCACRATCGGTTTCATCAAAGTATAATGGCTTGAAGTTTAGTAAATAAATTCTGTTGTTGATGTATAAAGTAAAGTAAATCCAGCTCAACCTGTCGGTGTTGGATTTGAAGACTCAAGGAAGTAAAAACTAACAAAATGCTCATCTCTCAAGTACCCAGACATACATCTGTCTTTTAGAGCATATTTCTGGCAACTGAAGAGGTATAATCTCCATACAGTCATTTTAAAATGGAGAACTATTCATGTGCACACACTTGAAAGGGAAGTTGCATAGCTTCCCTCCAGCCAAGGACTTTCAGTCATTCTTACTGATAAGCTGAGGTTCTCCAGATATTCTGRGAATTTTCAGTACGAGCACAGATTACTTTTTTGACCTCGATGAGATGTATACATTAAGCACTCCAAGAGCTATTAAGCAAAGATTTTACAAAGTGCCATATCACCCAGTAAAAGTCAAATGTGATTTTCCCAGCCAGTCGTCATAGCAAAAACACCACACTGTACATTTCAAAGATGAAAACGCATTTCCCACTGGATACTTTGCCSAAAACCCTTCAAAATCCAACTCTTGTTTGTAACTCTTGAGATAAACAAAATAGTGCTGAAGTACTTGTGCAGGGAGCTCTTTCTTGCTGCCTCAGGAGATGCAGTACCATTTTGTGCCCTTACATGACTCCAAACCCAACCTGTGTTTCCCACTCACAGCCTCACTCTCAAATGCCTGTTTGGGACACAACATGGATCTCACCCTTAAGGGAAATGTTAGGACTGCCTGCCTCAGCTTCTGAGTTTCCAGGGTGACTGACTGCCAGCCTACTGTTTTTAAAATTCTTACAGAACTTTTACATTATCACAGACCTTTTAACCACTAAAAGAGGTCCAAGTTCTACCTCTACAGTTAATATTCTATCTCTACATGTTAAAATACTTCTAATACATCTTTAATGCAGAAAGATCTCAGCTGCTGAAACAGAAAGGGATAAGTGATCCCAAACCAGCCAGAATAAAAGTTTTAGCTCAACTGTAAAGCTCAACTGGGTGGAATTAATCTGCTGAATTTCAAAATGTAAGTGTTGTATCTCTTGCACACATTTGGACCTATGCTTCACCCACATTGAGGCCAAAAGCTTTGAAAAAAATTGCTTCCAATTCGAGTCATATAGAGCCAAATGCTAAAAGAAAATGGTAATTTTTCTGTATTATGTGAGCTTAAGAAAAGATGGAAAAGTACCACAGGGTTTTATTTCAAGATATTCACAACAAAGAAGCTGGCAGAAATTCAGTTGTCTTGTAAAYATTATCAAAAGTTTTGCTTACTTTTAAATATTTTTGACAAGAACTTTACAACATTTTTATACAGAATATAAATCTAGTGTCTTTTGTTGCAATTTTAASTCACAGTAGTCAAACCACAGGCAAGAGGTTTTGCATGGGAATGTAAAACTAATATGAGGGATGGTCTTCAGAAGCAGATTCTGGTAMAGTCCAAAACTGAATTCTTTTCACATTTATCAGTGTGATGGTTTTATAGATYTTTCTTGCATTTTAAAGCACTTTTGATGTATAGCACTGTCTTGATTTTTGTTTGTCTATTTATGTCTTAAAAGTATTTGTATACTMATTTACATTAGGAAATCTTCTCCTGGATGCCAGTATGCACAATTAGCCACGTTATCACAGAAACCAAGGAAGTAACAGAGAGATGTGAATATTACTGTGACTTCTAAAAATCCCAATCCTACATCTTAYAGCTCCCATTTGTGAAAAATGTTTGAAAGGAAATAACCCCTCTAAAGATTCATTGTTGTAATAATACATCATTAGCTCATTCCCCCAAAGGTGCTCTCTCAAGTCAAAATGGAAACAAGCTGCTAAAATATCAAAATAGTCTCAAGTCAAGTCAAAATGGAAACAAGCTGCTAAAATATCAAAATAGTTCCCTTTTATGTATCCTTTCCTCCAATGAAAAACAAAGTTGTTGAAGACCTTTAAAGTTTTCTTCATGGATTTTGGTTGAGACTGAAAGTAGGCCCTCAGCAGGAAGAGGATGGGGAAGGTGACAGAAACAATATTCTCAYGTCCTTCTGCTGAAGGAACATCCTTCCTGCATCCCTTGTGTTCTCTGCTCTTACAGACATTCCCCATCCTCAGCTATACTGCCCTGCACAGCAGATTGTTCATCTCCACACTATAGGGAATGAGCTTGAGTCACAAATAGACTTCCCTTGACATCATAAGGAGACCCTGTGTCACCACTGTAAGGCAAATTACAAACTTCTAAATAAGTAAAAAGAGATAAAGCAAAAGGAACATTTTAAAGTCAATTTTCAATCAAATCCAGAAAGAAACAAACACACAGAAAGAACCGTAATGTTAAAAATCTWATACAACATTCATCGTAGATGTTAACTAATGGAAGCCTATTTTATAATGTAAGGAGACTTAAGAAAAAGAAACCTACCTCCACGACCAAAATTCCCAAGATCATTGGGTCCACTAGTGCTGTTATTTACTGGCAGACTTGTGGCAGGCCAAGAGTCTGCAAGCCAAGGATAACTGGGATCACTTGCATTCAACAGACCTGGTCGGCTGAAGCAGAATAAGAAAAGGAGATATACACACAAATATATATACATATATATTTAAAATTACAGTATCTGTGAGACAAGTAGTGATCAAAGAAGCCATATCACTGTTCTTCTACCACCATACGTAACTAAGAGTTTAGGAAACTTTAATTTATTTCAGATTACAATTATGTAGCCTTTGATGATTTAAAGACCTTGAGCAGTTAATTAAGGTTATATACAAATCAACTTTGTCAGTAGAAGTGGGACCAGGCATCCGTCGTGACTCTGCCAGAATCCAAATGAACTCTGTTGTCTGTGTGAAACAGGAGTTAGGCAGTGCCATCATGGGATCCTACACCAGGGCTGAATGATAAATTACCACCTCAAGGGAGCCATCACTCAAACTGATTGCTCCATATCAGCCATTTCCAGGACTTTGGGCTACTATTTCTTCCTTCCCTTGCATCCCAAATGTATGCCTGTCATCTGCAGGCTGGTAACTCTTTCTTTGAGCACTCTTGGATGCTTTAGAGACAAACAGGTTTGAGTAGGATTAATGGGAGGTCCACAGCTATCTCTGTGTGCCACTGCTGCATGGCTTTTATACCCCTGCAACTTCCAGCTTCGAGAGCAGCATTAAACAGTGAGCACGGTGAAAGAGAAGGSACACTCAGGCCAGAAGGCATCATGTCTCTCTCACCCCAGGATAGACAGGAATTTAGCAAGGCAGGTGGATTGTTTGTATTTGTATTTAGCAGGGAAAACAAATCATTTGCTGCAGACGCCCTTATCTCCCAAACAAAAACACAAAGCCAYGCACAGGTCTGCAGTTTTCCTAGGTTATTAAAGCACTCATGAAGTTGGAGCAACATCTCCCATCATTGAACATTATAGACCCCTGCCTGGAACAATCCCTAAGAGAAACATTGGTTTCCATGGAAATGGCAATAAGAAGACCCAGCCGCATTCTTGCCACATCTACTCCCTCTCATTAGGCCTAATCTCTTTTTGCTAAAATATTGATTAAACAGGAGATTGGAAGTTATTACCAGGGCCTAATTACAATCTCCATATTGGCAAAGGGAAAATAGATGAGGATATATGAGCCCGTTATCAGCTTTTATCAATTTCAATTGAGTAGCCAAAGTTGCGGAATCCAGTCCTATCAATCTACAGCCTATTCATCATCCATGAATCATTTATTTTGTGATCGATTAAGTGTAATTGTTCACTCACAGCAATTTAGGGGGAGCCAATAAGGAGTCTTAAACAACAGCAACTTCATTTGCTAATGTCTAATTAATGCAATAAACATCCCAGTAACAAATGAACACRTTCTTTGTGATATTTACTACTCATTTCTTCCAGGACATCTGGGAGATATGAAACATCTGGGCTTGATTCCTCCAAAGTGCACAACAGATAGGTCATTAAACCTTGTGGTAAGCTACTTAACTCCTCCTAGGGCTATCAGTCTTCCCAGTGATGGGATATGACCCAAATGCATCACCTACAGCACTTTTCAGATCTCTTATTTTAAAAAAAATGCAATGGGAAGACCTTTATACAAAGAAACATACCTTCCATTGCTCATGAGTCCTCCATCTCCTCTTTGGAAAGTGACTGTGTTTTGGTCGGAAAAAACAAAACAAACAAATGTACACACACACACACACACACACACATATAAGACAGGGAAAAGTCAATTAGTAATAATTCAAAGCAACAATTCAAACTGCTCAGTGTCTGAGGTTGGAGGCCTCTTGGCATCATCCCACAATAAACTACAGAAATCATAAGAAAAGGCTCAAGCCCATCAGGGTTGCAGTTCATTTAGGATTTCACTGCACATTCCTGTTTGACACCACCTTGCTCTGTACCTTGCAAGGCAAAGAAGCCACTTGGGCAAAAAGCCTGAATTCTCCACAGGCCCCTTCGTGTGACTTTGCATTGCAAGGCTGAGCCATGCGATGAAATTGTTTTCTTGGCATGCTTCTGCTTCGGTACATAACGACACTGCAGCAGCGAGTTAATAACATCATGTCGTAATGCAGTAATATAATGTCACCACACAAATATGCCATTTCCCAGGACAAACACAAAGAGGTGGCAGCTCTATTACAGCTGAAGGGATGGAAAAAAGCACCCAGCTGCACCTTTTCCATTAGAAGTACAGCTGAAAAACTAGCACCCACACAGAAATGTGTTCATGCCACTGTCACTGGGAAGAAAATGTATTTCCAGTCTTCCATCCATGGGGGATGCCAAGGACATAATCAGAGGGAAACAATTGTTTTTATGTCTCCATTTATGGGTGTTTGACAAAAACCAGCCTCTCCCTTATCTATCTTATTAACAGGATTACATTTCAGGGCARTATAGGTAAACCCACATTACTGGTGAGATGCTAATTGACAACATTTGATGATCCTTTTTGAGACACTGGCAAATATTTTGAATCAAGGCCAACAGACTACTCTGGTTCTCAGTGGCAATATCCCATTATTTATTGTCAGGCATAGATAAGGCAGACTATTAAATTATACCAGWGTCCTGGACACCTGCATCCTTACAGGCCCCTGACAAGATGAGGGTTTGAATTTCAGTGAGGAATGGAAGAGTTTACGGCCAGCTTAATTTGAAATAGACCTTCATTTGGAAATACTATTTACCTTTGTAAGACAGGCATTACCATCATTAAACTATAMCTCCCAGACTGTTTGCAAGATTTTCCAAATATTAGTCCAAACTATGCTAACTCAGGATTGGGCTTTCTACTTTATRCACTACTCTAAGCAGACAGAATTACCACACCCAATACAAATTCTGTGTTCATTAAAAAAATAAGCAATGACATAAAGTCACTGGGAAAACTCTTTCGATACCTTATAGAATTCTCATTACTTTATTAACTCCTAGGGTAATTTCACAGTCTACATTCACCAAAGAGGACAAAATTGGCCCCTCTGGAAGCTCTGCTGGAAGAATAGTAGGGTGATTAATTACCCTTCACTGCACAGCAGACTAATACCAATATCAGAAAATCACTGCAGTCATATGTCACATCAAAATGGTTAATAGCTGCATTTTGAAAGGCTGTAATCAAACCAATTAATGAAAAGAAAATCAAAATGCAAGTATGGAAAGTACTAAATAAAGGTCTGCTTTGAAAAACAAGACATGCTAAAACATTGTGGGTAATTAATTTTAGAGGCAATGCTCCTTTCATTCACGTGGTATCTAACAGGCTGCAAATTGACTGTATCACTCATTGCTCAAAAGTGAATAATCTGAAGTGCTGTGCATATCATTCGTGGAWATGCAAAGATCTGGGTATTGCCTGGCTTTGTTTCCAAGTATCTTGGTCAAAAGTATATTAGATGCTGTTTCCTTTCCCCTCCTCCCCTCCAAATTTAGTACTCAATTTCTCCAACTTTCTGCATTTGTCAAAGTGACAAGGAAAAAGGAAAATGAGAAATAAAGGTTGGGTAACAACCTTTATAAATAAAGTTTAGAGATCTAAGGRAATTGCAGTAAAACATATTTTCTGAAAAATGTTTAGATTAATGCTCTTGTTTGGACTGTCATCTACCGGAAATTATTGTGAAGTAATTTTTTTACCACTTGTATAACAGGTACAGCTGTRTGAGATTTGAAATGTGCATGCTGTATGGGGAGAAAAAAAGCCCAACAAATATTTGYGCACTACATAATGTTTATATCACTGTGTACCTTTATAAAGCAAAGCTGAAACGGAGGAGTTAGTAGAAGATTGCAGCAGTTTGGCCCACACATTTTATTTTSTGTGTAGGCAGGTATGGAAACACTCCCAGGCATGCTGTGAGAAATGCATCAAGAGGACATGACCTAGAAACCTCTTTGCTTGAGCCATAATTGCTGCAGGTTGGCTGTGGCATAGGATTGTTGAGAWAAAAACAAGATTCACAGAWTTTGYTCCTTTTTCTTCTGTGACCTGAAGGTAGGAACTGTTTCATGTTTTTGGGATTTTTTTCTGTTTTTTTTTTTAAATTTTATTTTGTGTGTTAAGTAAGCTTGCACCCTCCCAATACAAGCATCATTTTCAGAAGAAGGGTTCATCTTGCAGTGTAATAGTTTTTCCTGGTGCAGACTGCGTAGTTTTTGTGATGTGTATGGATTAGGAAAAAACACAGGTTCTTTTATTTACCCTTCACCCCACATACCAACATATGCATGGTTATAATCTTATTGAGAAAATAAACAAGAAAGCATTTTATTTATTCAAAAATGCCTCGTGGGAAAGGCTTTGGCATACCAATCAAGCTTGACAAAATTCCTGTGTGGCTGTGTTACTGGGATGGCACAAAACCCTCCATATTCCTGATGCCATCCATAAATGGGCTACCTGAGGCTGGATAGAGAAGGGGCCRTTCTTTCAGCATCAATGTTGTGAAAGCCAAGACAGCTAACAACACAAGATATGGTCAGGCTGCCAACACAAGCACTATGTTTATCTTTCCTGCCATACAGTTTGTCAGCGTTTTTGCCTGCAGTTTGATTTCTGCAATTACAAAACAAGTCTAAATGCCTGAATAGGAGCATACTTAATGCAATRCAGGCTTGTGGATGTCACTGTAAAAATAAAACACACCGACAGCTGGCTTTATTCATCCTGTCTCCACTTCAAAAGGCAGCAGAGCAATTTCAAGGGGCAATAGAAGAAGAGGAAAGGGAAGGATGTCCCTATCACTGACCCACCCATCTCCCTTTCTTTTTATCACCAAGGAAGCAAAAAAGCTCTTTCAGCAGTCTTTGCATCTGATACATGTTCTTAGAAAGGCTGAAGACCTGCAGGGATGAGATTGGTTTTCAAAAGAAGATGAAAAAATAACCTCTGCATAGAGAGATTTTGAAGGAATCCCCACCAGCTTATACTTCAAGGACTCTAAAAATGCAGAAATATAATCCAAAGTGCATTTTAAATGCATAAATATTTCAGGAAATTATATTGTATATATTTGTGTGAAAACCAGCATACATTAAGGAGCTTTTCACAGGCTTTTTATTAAATATATAAGGAGGTACCAAAACCATTTACTAATATTATCTGACAAGGTTAAACTTAATCTTCATGCCTGCTAGAATTGGAAAAATATGAATGTATAGTAAGTCGACATTCTGAGGCAAGGAAGCTTTAGAAAGCTTTCTCTATGCCTATCTCTAGTAGGCCACATTTTCCTACTGCAAATGAAAACTTTAATGTTGCCAGCCAAGTCTCATTCCTTTTACTGATAAGCTGTTCCTCAAATATGAATGTAGATTAATCCTCTTTTAATAAGCATTAACTCAGAACAGATAATCAGCACATAAAAATTCCATCAAATCTTCTGTCTACCTTTGGATGATTCTGTCATATGGTTTATCCTCATTTAACAGTTTCAGGAGTTGCACACAAAATGTGTAGCATTCCAYGATTCTCTATCTATTTTTAATTTGTTTTCTGTTTACTGAGTTTCATGAAATCTTTTAATCCCAAGGAGCACTAGTCACTAAATAAGCTTACCTACTCATAAGTTAAAATACATATTTGCTTTTTTTGCATGACTGATGGCCTAGACACTTGCAAACACCTGAATATTCAGGTGAGTGGGTACTGGCACAACAAGTTTGAGGGCATAGGAAAGATAAGCAGATAAATTAAATTTCTCTTTTTTTCCCCTACAAATGGATCCCATGGCTTTTCACAGAAATGTGAAAAGAGACTTGCAACTTCCAGTATAAACAAATTCTGATCTGTTACTGTAATACAGTATTGAAATAATCCATCTGTTATACAAGAAGCGGTCAGACATCTTTTTTGTGTCCTGTATCTTTGTATCACATGGAAGCCCACAGTGCAGTCCAGGCAATCTGAGTAAAGGGTAGCCATAAAAATTAAATAAATRAATAAATAAATAAGAAAAGCCAAACCAGTACCGCAGTACTTTAGCTTTCACAGAAACTCACAAAAGTAAGACCAATACATCCTTTATATTACAGGAGAGATGGTTGAAAAGGGGTAACAATCGAGTTTAGTGTGTCTGTGCCAGAGCTGGCTTTGCTGACAGTATGTGATGGTCACAAAAATGCATAGTTCTTSTACAGTGGCAGATGATGGCACTACTACTTACCAACAGTACTCTAACAAACATATTGGCTAAATTTTATGTTTTGTAGCACTGATATTACTGAGAATCATAATASGGGAAAGGGAAGTGGAAGAACAGCCATGCACAGAATTGTGGCTCAGTGACTACTGGAGTCAGTTCAGCTGAAAAACACTAAAATATTCAGCTATGATTAGCAATGTCACTTTATTTGTGACCATCTGAGCCATTGATCAGTGCTTATGAAAATGCTCACAAAGACAGAAAGCCTAGAGTATTTAACTCAATCAGTTATTCTCCTCTGACACAAATCATTACCGACTGCCTGACATTTGCTGTTTGCTCTTCTCCTATACATGTTGTAGTTGTTTAGTCACAAAGCAGAAACTGCATATCTTAGGAGCCTAATAGCAGAATACAAATAACAAATGGTCCTAGTGAATGTCCCATAAACTGAAAATGACTATAAACTAAATTATTTTTAGCAAGTAATTACAAAACTGCAGGATTTGGAGTTCTAAAAGACTATTTTTAGTATTCTATGTTCTRCAGAGAATTCAGCTGAAGAAAAACAAACAAAAAATGCTCACATCAGAAATAACGGGGCATTTTTTTTTCCACGTGTGAAATAAAGTATAGGAATGTTCYGCTAATAGATTCAATTCTCTATCACAAATTCAAATCTGCATGTTCTGCAACTCTCTGAAGGAAAAATTTAAAGCAGATGTCTGAACAAAAAGTGTGCACCTTCTAAAATCTGAGTACATTATGATAAATTCCTCTTTAGTAAAAACTCATTGACAGCTGTCTCTGAGGAGATTCTGAAAGCTTCATACCACTGTCTAAATAATTGTATCTAAACCTAAACTTTTCATGAATCATAACTTTGAAGGGAACAACACACAGTTGAGTGTATCAAACCTCAACAAGCATAGGCATGTTTTTYAAAAAGATATTATCAAAGGCAAATTCAAATATTAGAGAATTAGCACTGTTTGTTATGGAACTCTGGATCTAAAGATAYAAAACATGGACCATGTTCTGTCATAAGGAAAACATTTTTTGAAACTAATGGGTTTTTTTGTGTACTCAACTACTGGAGGACTTAGGTTCTCAATGCCTCCAAAAGTTATTATAGGCCAGGAAATTAAATAGTTCTACAAAATCCACAAGATGCCAAAACTGCTTTGAAAACAGCACATTYTTGGCAGTGCCTCTGACACATCCCAGTTGCCCAGCATATGTGGATCAACAGCACTAAATCATGCACAGTCCCTATGGCTCCAGCACAACCCAGTGTCATGCCAAAGGGTGCTACAAACACAAAGGTGAAAACTCACCACAGTTCAAGACACCTGGCAGTGGCACAGTCACAGGAAGCAAATGAAATGATGTGTTATGTAATTTTGGAAAAGATCCTGTGTTGCAWCTCAAAGAAAAGCCAGTGAGGTGTTTAGGATAAGATGCATTGTGCCATCTTACACTAACCTGACCAAATCTGYGTGGAAGCTCAGGAGTAATCCTAGRGGAGCATTTCCACAAGRAGATTTCTCCCTCAGAATGTCATGGGCTCCTGGGGCTGAGACCACCACCTTTGGTCACCTGCTCTTTCCTGAGCTGAACACAGAAGCTGTGGCTGAAGACAAGCCAGAGTGAGCAAGGAGCTACTGAGCATGAGGAGATAGCTCTGCTAAAGGCAACTGAGTGGCCAAACTGCATCCAAAAATCTCTACAGATTTCTGCTGGAAAATGCTGAGATTTATCAGCCTCTTACACTGTAACACTGAGGTACAATTATTTTTCAGTTTCTAAATCTTGAGATTAAGTATGAGAGYAGAAGCTAATTGTTTGTATTAATTATTACTATTAATTGTATACTCTGTTTTTCYTGGCTATCCATATGTTGAATAAGCTGTTTGCAACCTGCTGTTTCGGCCACACTTCGTTTATCCTTCACAGATCTTTAACCATGGTTATGATAAAAGCCTACCTTATGCTATCTTTGTTAAAGATAAGAAAAATAGGGCACCAGCTCTGAGCTGGGTAGTGAGAAAAAAACCCAAACATTTCAATTTCAAAAACCCTGTAAAGGCAATGAATGCATCGATTAGTGACTAGATTGTCAAAAGGCCTGAACACCTCATGGTAAGGCAAACATAACCAAGAGTTAAAGCAGAGGAAAGTTCAATTTCTCCACTTGGAYCTCCAAAACTGTTTGGGCTTTAAAATCAAAATTCAGTTACACATGAATAATGCTTGTTTATGTTAAGGTAGTTCAAGCATYTGGTCCTGTAAATTACTTTTAAAACTGCATTGTATGAGATGAGTAAGTATGCARAATTATAGTGACAGAGACATTAATGGTGGTAGATTTTACTTTCCCATGGAATTAGAAGGGGAATGAATGCTACATTTTTATCATACATAGGCAGCCAGAGTATTTGTCCTTGTACTTGGTTTTGATTCTGCATATCTCACACGTTCTTTAACACTTGGATAGCTAATGCTTGCAATGATGTGTTGGTGAAGTAAGAGACAGACTAATGACAGTACCTGCAGGGGTGAAGGTGAAGGACTGAACTGCAAAACAAGAAAGCAAACACATTGTGAGTTACACACCCTGACAAAAAGCACTAATTGCAGGGCASGAGTTTCCTCTGGAAATTACTCAGTTTGGGTTGGATATCATAAGCAGGACATAACAGCTGAGCTTAAAGCACTAACCAGCCAGCAGCCAATGAGAAATGGTGGTTGGAAAGATGAGCAGTGAATTCTGTCACATTTGAAGACTCTCTGTGTGGACATGCTGTTCTCCAAGTTGTGAACGTTAGGATGAACTTTGAAGCATGATCTGTTACCGACTTTCCTTGATGAAAGCATACACAATTTCATGATGCAGTCAATGCTCACATCACACTTAGATGCAGAAAACACCATGAAAAGGAATGAGTTGCACAAGACATGCTGTTTATAATTATTTACAGCTACGTTCTTTAAGCTATTAAAGACTGCTCTCAATTCTCCGTCACCCCAGTATGCCAACTCACATTACAGGACTAATAATTCTCCTTTTTAAGAAAAGTCTACACCCAGCTTGTGTCCAAAGCTTTAGGCAGGACTATTTCCTAAGAGGAATTACAGCACAGCTGTCTCTAGTATGAAAAATCTTGGGATCTAGGATATAAACCCACCCATSTGTAAGCATGTGAGATATATGTTAGTTTCTCAGTTAACACTTTCCCACATCCCAGACAGTAGAATTCACTGATGTTAAAGAAAAAAAACAATTTGGGAAAAAGCACAACCTATGAATGGCAGAGGCCATGTGGCGACACAAAGTGAGAGTCCACAAAAGCCAAGAAGGTCCAAAAGCCACTGGTCTCTCCTTCCTCTATCTCCCACTGTCTGATGTGTTCTTCACCTTTCACTAAGCCACTAGAAAACAAATGTAGCATGGAATACTTTCCTGCTGGTTTAGTGAGCCCAATCAGGACCCTGAGGAGTCTGATGATGGTTAAGTTGAACTGGGGACAGTTTGGCTGTGACTGCTGGGTTTTTGGTCAGTTGCTGTTCAGCCATTTAGGGAACCTGAGTTCTTGGGTTCACATGTGATTAATGGTAAATAGAAGGGCACTTGTGTAACTTTAGTGTGATATAATGTCAACACTGAATATGCTGTGTCCTTAACCGGGAAAATCTTGTTTTAAGTGTTAATAAGAACTACAAGAGAACCCACTGCAATAGTWKAAGAATTGGGGAATTTTGTGTTTCRTATTAGGCTTCAGAGTGACCCACTTTAYGACAACTCACCTGATTTCCTAAAAATTCATAAGAATTCTGAAAACAGAGTAATACACAAAGCCAACATGTTGAGGAAAGATGAAAATATTTTCATTTGGCGAGTATATTTAATTTTCCAAAYGTAGTTTTCAAAAACTAATTTATAACTGGAGGAAACATTTAATAAAAGACAGCATTCCAAGTTGTTCTACCACCGAGACAAAACTGTTTATGACTTCTGCCTTAAGTACATTTTGACCACACTTCTCTAATACATCASTTTTCCAGCTACAGGCATGAAGTCACCGATTAAGTACATTTATTTATTTCCCAAGCACATGGCTTCAGAGGAATTGCACAGGAATGAAGAAGGAGAAGACAGTTACTCTTTAACTTTCTTTGTAAGGGTCTTGTCTAACTCATATTTGAATATATAAAGGATGCTGCACTGACAACAGAGTGCCTTTTCAGCAAAGGACAAGAGGAACAATTAATCCTCTTTGTATTTTTTTTTTATGCTAGCCATGCTGGGGATGTAAAAATACTGCCTTATGRTAATGATGAAATGTGGTACCGAGCAGTGCATTTAAAGCTTCTCATACACCAGCAATTTCACAGCATACATTTAAAACAAGCAAACAGAAGTCACCCAGRACTCTTGTGCTGTAAGATCAATGTGGTTTTTAGGTAGGTTTAGTAGCCCCTGTTCTCRTCATGATAGCACCTGGTGAGATGGCAACGAAGTCACTGCTCTTACCAGCATAATTGCTGAGCCCCTTCCTCTTCTTTCTTCGCCAGTAGAGCCAGATGCTGAAGCCCATCAGAATGACCCAACATGCACCACCAATGCCAGCTATAAAGGCAGGCTGCTTGACCACATCTGTGATTTGCTCAGTTATGCTGTTGTTATTTTCGGTGATGACAACTTCRTTACGACCTCCTGCACACAAKAAATTGAACAGAATGYRGTTATTGGGGTTTCTGTAWYGCAGAGAGGAACCAGAACTACAAAYTAAATTTTTTTAAAGMATAGTCAYGGATSTCAAAAAAATGACCCACAGCAGAAGAACTTTAAGAAGCAGCAATGCACACYAGAAACTCAGTGTTTCTAGAGAGTAAATCCATAGCCATTTTACAAACATATATTTGCAAAGATGTGACCTATAGCACACTCYCAAGTCTAACAGATGCAAATCCAGAGGGTTTTCAAACAATATTCATATTTGTTAGTTTGTTTMTCCATAATTAGAGACAGAATACAATAATGAGAAAATGGATCACAGGAAACTAATAAAAATATAAATCAAGCAATCGATAAATAGCTTTTTCCAAATGAGTAATCCAAATACAAAATATGCTACATCATGAGAAGGCAAAAAATACTTACTTAACTCATTTGTTTTTCCTGAATGCTAGTTTCCAAATTTGAAATAAACAATAAAATAAACATACTTTCCACTGGGGCAAAGACACATTTKCCAGCAATTATTTCAAGAGGAAAACAGTTCATACAAATTCTAAGTGTATCATCTTTGAACAAAGCAGAAAATCACACAGTTAACTGCTAGCACTAAACAATCACAGCAACAGATGCTATTTTTTCACCTAGAATATGCRTGACAAATTCTTAACATCAACCTGCAAGAAATAATTATTACTTGGAATACTAATTAAAGTGACATGCATCAAAAAAATTACTATATAGGACCTTAAATTGTATATAACAGTAGGAAACTGTGAATTTCAGTAGATGCTCCCACTGGTGTTTTGCCCCTCTTTCTCTAAAAGGGATCTTTTCTAAAAGAAAAAGCTTGGCGTTTGGCTTGAAAACAAATACTCATAAAAATCTGAATAGAAGTCCAGGAGATACTAAAGCATCCAGTTTTTGGGCCAGCACTTTCAAATTGTCAGAAATAGTTCTAAAATTAAGAACATACCTAACAAATGCAGAACATACCTAACAAAAAAAAAAAAAATCTATGTATATTTACATAAACTGCCCACATCTGCAGTTTTGAAATTCGTGAAAGATTATCCATCATTTTTGGTAAAAGCATTTATATAGCTCAGTCCTTGAAATGTTTATGCAATATTACCAGATGCCTGCATGCATGCTGAGAGCTGCAAGAGTAGCTATTTTACTGAGACAAAGAAGATGCAAACACTGTGATTCTCAGTTATCAGTCTATCACACACATTAAGGTGGTTGAACATTGCAGTAAAACTGAAATGTTCAAAGGCCCAATGGTTTCCAGGACTGATGCAGCAAGYGAGAATGAAACTGAGTGAGCAGCTGTGGCAAGGAAAGAAAGGAGGCAGCAGTGGCTCCTTTATCTGATTTTCCACAGGTTTTCTGTCCATGGAACCAATCCATAGGTGCACCCCAGTGCTGAAAGAGGAAGTGCTGACAGTAAAACTAATAGAAAGGGGCTCTTCATGCCATGCTCTTCCAGACACAAAATCGATTTTCTAGTAGAAATCAGCATGGGAGTTGGAGTTGCTCTAATTACCATTAACTTGCASTTAATTTCTGTGCCCTTTGGAAGAGAGGCCAAAGCAGGGGGACAGTGAGGAAAGAGGTTGTGCTGGCACTGCTTCAGAGGCAGAAGCACTACCAAGGAGAAGAGCAGGCAGGGAAGTGCTTTGGAGACACTGGCTTTGGGAGTGRATGCTCCTGGATTCAAGAGCAAGTTCTTCTCACTAAAGCCTCCAGCAACCTCCAAGCATCCTGTCTTCTGTAAGACCAGAAGACAGTCTTTTGAAAATGGMGGGCATGAGAGCAAACTGCAAAGAGCCTGGGGATTCAGTGGACTGCATGCTCTGCCTCTCTGCCAGGGGAAGATACAATCTGTCTCCAAATTACCTTCTAAAGTTTGCAGTCTGGCTGTTTGCTCTTACCCTTCTGTGCCTAGAAATTACAACTGCAAAAGTAATAATTCATTTAAATGTCAAAATAAAAAATGCTTTGTGAATTTGATGATGGAGAAATAAATGGAGACAGAGGAATGCTACCCACTGACTTTTGATAAAATTAATATAATTGTTGGGGGCTGGGGAAACAAACTGCATTAGTTTTGTACTTCTTTATATAATATTTAAGCAGAAGTAGTAAGTATGTCACCCAAGGTACCAGGGTACTATTTCATATACTGCAGGTGGTTGTGTAACAATGCTGTCAGTTCAACTAATTAGARCATAGACAAGGGAAGTGTGCGACSTGCAACGCTCCATTGTTCCTGAAGACAAAAACATAATGAAATATAATGTCTTCCTCCCATTGGAGAGTAATGAAGAACAAAACTAATTTGTYGGACCAAAAATTAATTAGACACATCAGATTCGATTGTACCTATTACTGTGAAAGTTTGCAGCTGTTCCTCATATTATTATGCCAGTGATGGAACGTAAGAATGCACAGGCCAACTGATGAAGAGTAGTAATAGCTACAGCATTAACCAACATTRCCCTTATCTCCAATTTTATTTCTAGTTTTCCAAGGGAATGTTTTTAGCATATCATTAGCGATCATAAAAGTTTTATTCTTGAGTCTCTTTGAGCCTTGCATAGAATTTTTCAGCATCCTACTTCAACTACAGGCACAAAACCCCTGTAACAGTGAGACGATTTCTAACTAAAGGAATAATATACTTCCTGCTGCTCGCTATTCTCCTATTTTTACTTTCTGGATTGTCACTGGTCTGCTATCTAAAATTACCCAGGGAGGTCAATAGCTGATTATCCAACACACAAACCAGTTATTTTCAGAAAAAAAACCCAAAAGAACTTCTTAGAAKAATGAATCCTGTATTTAAAAATAACATCTTTTCTTTTATACGCTRCACTCTGTACTTCATGACAATGAAAGCTGTACTGCTTAGAAACACAATTTAACTCTTCTGCACCACTGACCAGGTCTCTCCATAATTCAGCATTTCTGGAGCTGTTCATTCTGTTTGCAAGCTGTTAAATGGTACAGCTAAGCACCAGACCATATAGAACTCCATTATAATACAGTAACTCCATAATGTTTTCACATTCATTATGACTATTTAGGTTTATTCATTAGCTCATTTTTAATCCATGTAATTAGCATTTTTTAAATTTAATTTAAAAAAAACCCTAATATTTTATGACTTTGATTCCCATCCGAACATTGGTACCAACTCAAGTTTTCAATAAATGGTGTCACTTAAATACTGTTACATTTATCATAGAAATTTAAAGTCTGAGAAATAATTGCCAGCAATTCATAACCAATAGCAAAATAGGACCTAYAGAAAAGAAAAACACAGATCATATACGTAATAAATGCATCCAACTTCGGGCTCTCCAAGGGGAACAGAAATGAGAACAGAAACAACCCAAACAGAAACTACTCTACTTTTCAYGCAAATGACTCTTAATGTGCAAAGATGTCACCAGACAAATTTGTTTAAGCAGATATTCTGGGATCATTTAAGGAACAAATAAATTTCACTAAGAACTCTGGGAATTATCCAGCAAAGACCTTTTGTGCAAGCACAACTCACAAAACTTTAAAGGACACAAGGCCACTCATGTACTTAAAATGCTTAACATACTTACTGTGCTTTATTGGAATAAATGCGGTGTACTTTGTGCCTAGTTAGATGGACTCCTCAGTGAAATAAGAAAAAGAGCTCCTGGGTTTCTTGCGTTTTCRAAATTCAATTTCTTGCTTTCACTTATAGAGATCTTTTTTTTAGCTCTTTTTTTTTGGCATTTCTGTGGCTGCCTTTCCTAAAACAAGCACTACCTGCACTTCTCCTCTTGTATTTCTGCCTCCAGTGAGACTTTAAAGCTGAAGCATCCCAGCTTCTGTTTTGATGAATGGGGAACCTGAATATCATTAAACATTTAAGCAATGCTTATGTGATGTCTTTTCTAAGGGTCTACACATTTGGGGCAGTGTACTAACAACATTTTCTAGTCAGAAAATATTTAGTAACAACAAAAGTTCACAAACAAACAAACCAAAGTCMATTTTAGTAATAACTAAATTAGACCATACAGACAAAGGGAACAAAATTCCTGTATTCTSCACTCAAAAGAGGTGCTGCTTTCCACAGCTCATTTCAGGTTTGCTAAATAGASTTGCTTCTCCTATTCTTCCACACTCTTCCTGCCTTTATGTTTTATACTCAGGAAAAAATTCAGAGGAAACAAAATCTGTGTTTCCCTCAGGTCAGCAAAGTGATTCTTTATGGAGACCAGTACTAAGAAACAACCATTTCAAAGGCAGGGATGACAATGCTACCTTTGCTCTCTATTTGATCTAAAGCCACTTCTTCTTTGACAGAGGAGGCTTGCCTGCTTGGGATACATGAGAAACACTGACTTTAAACATTCAGAAAACAACAGTAAATAGTGCCTTCAGCACCAATGGAATGAGTAAGGCAATAGTACAGTCATCTTAACAGAAGGWAAAGGGAGCTTGGGCTGTTTGTTCCATAAATCTGTCAACCTGCAGAAGTGGTAAATTCATTTAATAATGCCACAAAACATCATATCAGGCAATTTGCATTTTCTCATTTGTCTCAGGAACACATTTCCCTTTGTTGTGTGCAAGAACTCTGCAGGAAGAGCAGACAAAASATCATCAGGCAGTGGGATGTAAAAGCTAACTAACCAGTTCTAGTCAAACCTTGTCTTTTGCTCCAYGGATTTTTATGCTTCCAGAAGTGATTTATGAAAGCATTTCTGAGAGAAAAAAGAAAATCAGGCAAAACAAAACAATGGAACAGACAATCACTTACCAATTATTATGGGCTGTGGATCACTTTTTACTCCCACACCTGCACTGGTGCTTGCAGCAACTTCCACACGGTACTGGATACCTGGATATAGGCCACCTATTACTACAGACCGAATGGCTGCATCTACTGTTTTGTTGATATGAAATCGAGTCTCATTACCTAGGCACCAGATCTGGGACAAAAGTTAATGTGTTAAAAGAGATGAAATTCTTCACACTCACACAATYGCACATAGATATGACATTATCAAGGATTTCATGGCAATCACTTATCGGGGACTTCTCGACAATTTTACTGTCCAGGAACAGCTGAAATTGGGATGATTTAGCTCAGCAAGATATCCCAGATTAGCACAGGACCAAGCCAGCTGCAAAGACTGCTTGCAAATACCTCTCTGGACTCTGGCTCTCCATGGAGTGCAAATTCTGTGGTTACACTTCTTAGAAGCACAGACCAGATCATCCAAGTGGAAAAGAGGTGTTACACATTAATTGAAATCTTTTTCAGTAACTTAATTACCACTAAACATTTCCTTTAAAAAATCTCACATTCTTTCCTTCTAAACTTCCTGCTGAATAGCAAAAGGATACCAAGTAATATGAACACAAGCTGAAACACTTCTTAAATTACTAGACAACTATTTCCAAAATTCTTTTTAACTTCTTTTTATTGCACAACAGATACTGGAAATTTCTGAAACGGAATAAGCACGGGCTCACATTTACCGCTGCCTTTGTGATTATTTACATTGTTTAGAAATCCAGATCTCAGTTTCTGACTCAATTATTATCTAATTAAACAGGAAAACTACCCTATAATCACAACTGCATTTGTGATAAGAACAGTCTATGAGTTCAGAGTGTTACGTTTCTCTCTTGCTTTTTTTTTGTAGGCTTCTCTAAAGAGGTTTCAAAACTAATTTCTAGGAGTGTTTCTTCAGTTAATGTTATCTGCATATACTGCTTCTGTATTACTAAAGAAAACATTTACTACCACTCAAGAAAATCAATGCAAAATATATCACATGTACATTTACATAAAAGTAACAGCAGAAGACACTGGTGGAACCACTATCAGTGACAAACTAAAGCATCTAAGCAACAGCAATAATAACTTTATGCTTACTTTTGACCCGGCTCAGTGTTTTATCACACCTTATATTTTTTTTTTTTTCTGTGAATCACTAAGAAAAATTTGAAGAGACAAAAAAAATCTCTTGCCTTCCTAAACCCAAGAAGATCTTATTTCTCAGCCAGAATGCATTAGGGGGAGAAACGATTGTATTCATTCCTTCATTCCTTATCTGTCCTGGTCTTAGGYTACAGCAGCTATGAGATGCCCCTAATTAAAAGCAGTTATTTCATGAATGAATTTACAGGCGTTCTGATGCTTGAAGTGGAATCAACAGCTCTACTTTCAATTTGTTAGAAAATGCGCTGTGGAACTTCAGCAGTCATTTTACACTCAAGGAAATATTAGACCCTCTGCACCATTCACTGCAGCCACCTAACRTAACACAGGAGGCCTGGAATAGGTAGTGACTCCAGCTGGTTTTACACACAGCCCAGAGRCCTGAGCACTCACCTGGAACATGGCTTTTATTAGCCATCAGCCCACTTTGTTTCATATCTACATATTTTGTGGTTTAGGAGCATGCTTTTCTTGTTTGCCTATAAGTCCTGGATGGTTTATATTGATTTATGTTGGAGTCAGGATCAAGATTAATTAAGCCAAAGGATAATTATTAATTGATATGAAAATTAAATCAATAAAATACTGGGATTAATAAATCTTGATATTGACTAAAAGCAGAACAAAAGAAGCACTATGCTAAACATAAATATTGTGAGTATTTACTGCATCCCTGTGAACAAGAGAAAAGCTGGAAGAGTTTGAACCAGATTTAGAAGCCAAGCACTTTCTCCCTTCTTCATGCTGTGTTTCCTCAAGATACAGCGGGGTAAAAAAAAAAAAAAAACTTTTTGTGGGAAATAAGCTGCAGCCACCACTTCCACCCTTTGTGGGACTATCAAGAAAGCTTCCCTGCCCCATTTCAATTAAACATTTCACACTCGGTATGTAYAGACCAGCCACAGCAAGGTTAATTTGCCAAAGTATGCTCCGTTCTGTCACAACGTTGACCCTTACCCAATCGTTTTCTCCATCTGAGTAACAGAGAGCATTTTTATAATGTTGTGAAAATATACTTGTGCAAAAGTGATCTTAGCACGTAATTACCGACTACTACAAATTTAATATATAAGGAGTGGATACATTGAGCCACCAAAGTAGCAAAGAGGAAGAAAATAGCACTAATGCAAGCAACTCTCATGTAACAAAGTCTGGATATATTATTTGCGTTCAACCTGTTTTTCAGAGCAAACAACCTGGCACTTTAAGTTGTGAAGCTTGACAGATGTAGTACTTGGAAGAACCCTTGTATTCTCCCAGAGCCACAGTCCTTGACTTTGACCTTGRAGTGTTAGGATTAGCATTTTTGCAGGGGAAATAAGAAGTAACTTTTCTACCAGATTGAAGGTACTCCAAGACAGAGACATCACTGCCTGTCTTTAAAGTGCAGAAGCC